GTATCTGTAATCTATATTTCTATATACTAGTATCTGTAATCTATATTTCTATATACTAGTATCTGTAATCTATATTTCTATATACTAGTATCTGTAATCTATATTTCTATATACTAGTATCTGTAATCTATATTTCTATATACTAGTATCTGTAATCTATATTTCTATATACTAGTATCTGTAATCTATATTTCTATATACTAGTATCTGTAATCTATATTTCTATATACTAGTATCTGTAATCTATATTTCTATATACTAGTATCTGTAATCTATATTTCTATATACTAGTATCTGTAATCTATATTTCTATATACTAGTATCTGTAATCTATATTTCTATATACTAGTATCTGTAATCTATATTTCTATATACTAGTATCTGTAATCTATATTTCTATATACTAGTATCTGTAATCTATATTTCTATATACTAGTATCTGTAATCTATATTTCTATATACTAGTATCTGTAATCTATATTTCTATATACTAGTATCTGTAATCTATATTTCTATATACTAGTATCTGTAATCTATATTTCTATATACTAGTATCTGTAATCTATATTTCTATATACTAGTATCTGTAATCTATATTTCTATATACTAGTATCTGTAATCTATATTTCTATATACTAGTATCTGTAATCTATATTTCTATATACTAGTATCTGTAATCTATATTTCTATATACTAGTATCTGTAATCTATATTTCTATATACTAGTATCTGTAATCTATATTTCTATATACTAGTATCTGTAATCTATATTTCTATATACTAGTATCTGTAATCTATATTTCTATATACTAGTATCTGTAATCTATATTTCTATATACTAGTATCTGTAATCTATATTTCTATATACTAGTATCTGTAATCTATATTTCTATATACTAGTATCTGTAATCTATATTTCTATATACTAGTATCTGTAATCTATATTTCTATATACTAGTATCTGTAATCTATATTTCTATATACTAGTATCTGTAATCTATATTTCTATATACTAGTATCTGTAATCTATATTTCTATATACTAGTATCTGTAATCTATATTTCTATATACTAGTATCTGTAATCTATATTTCTATATACTAGTATCTGTAATCTATATTTCTATATACTAGTATCTGTAATCTATATTTCTATATACTAGTATCTGTAATCTATATTTCTATATACTAGTATCTGTAATCTATATTTCTATATACTAGTATCTGTAATCTATATTTCTATATACTAGTATCTGTAATCTATATTTCTATATACTAGTATCTGTAATCTATATTTCTATATACTAGTATCTGTAATCTATATTTCTATATACTAGTATCTGTAATCTATATTTCTATATACTAGTATCTGTAATCTATATTTCTATATACTAGTATCTGTAATCTATATTTCTATATACTAGTATCTGTAATCTATATTTCTATATACTAGTATCTGTAATCTATATTTCTATATACTAGTATCTGTAATCTATATTTCTATATACTAGTATCTGTAATCTATATTTCTATATACTAGTATCTGTAATCTATATTTCTATATACTAGTATCTGTAATCTATATTTCTATATACTAGTATCTGTAATCTATATTTCTATATACTAGTATCTGTAATCTATATTTCTATATACTAGTATCTGTAATCTATATTTCTATATACTAGTATCTGTAATCTATATTTCTATATACTAGTATCTGTAATCTATATTTCTATATACTAGTATCTGTAATCTATATTTCTATATACTAGTATCTGTAATCTATATTTCTATATACTAGTATCTGTAATCTATATTTCTATATACTAGTATCTGTAATCTATATTTCTATATACTAGTATCTGTAATCTATATTTCTATATACTAGTATCTGTAATCTATATTTCTATATACTAGTATCTGTAATCTATATTTCTATATACTAGTATCTGTAATCTATATTTCTATATACTAGTATCTGTAATCTATATTTCTATATACTAGTATCTGTAATCTATATTTCTATATACTAGTATCTGTAATCTATATTTCTATATACTAGTATCTGTAATCTATATTTCTATATACTAGTATCTGTAATCTATATTTCTATATACTAGTATCTGTAATCTATATTTCTATATACTAGTATCTGTAATCTATATTTCTATATACTAGTATCTGTAATCTATATTTCTATATACTAGTATCTGTAATCTATATTTCTATATACTAGTATCTGTAATCTATATTTCTATATACTAGTATCTGTAATCTATATTTCTATATACTAGTATCTGTAATCTATATTTCTATATACTAGTATCTGTAATCTATATTTCTATATACTAGTATCTGTAATCTATATTTCTATATACTAGTATCTGTAATCTATATTTCTATATACTAGTATCTGTAATCTATATTTCTATATACTAGTATCTGTAATCTATATTTCTATATACTAGTATCTGTAATCTATATTTCTATATACTAGTATCTGTAATCTATATTTCTATATACTAGTATCTGTAATCTATATTTCTATATACTAGTATCTGTAATCTATATTTCTATATACTAGTATCTGTAATCTATATTTCTATATACTAGTATCTGTAATCTATATTTCTATATACTAGTATCTGTAATCTATATTTCTATATACTAGTATCTGTAATCTATATTTCTATATACTAGTATCTGTAATCTATATTTCTATATACTAGTATCTGTAATCTATATTTCTATATACTAGTATCTGTAATCTATATTTCTATATACTAGTATCTGTAATCTATATTTCTATATACTAGTATCTGTAATCTATATTTCTATATACTAGTATCTGTAATCTATATTTCTATATACTAGTATCTGTAATCTATATTTCTATATACTAGTATCTGTAATCTATATTTCTATATACTAGTATCTGTAATCTATATTTCTATATACTAGTATCTGTAATCTATATTTCTATATACTAGTATCTGTAATCTATATTTCTATATACTAGTATCTGTAATCTATATTTCTATATACTAGTATCTGTAATCTATATTTCTATATACTAGTATCTGTAATCTATATTTCTATATACTAGTATCTGTAATCTATATTTCTATATACTAGTATCTGTAATCTATATTTCTATATACTAGTATCTGTAATCTATATTTCTATATACTAGTATCTGTAATCTATATTTCTATATACTAGTATCTGTAATCTATATTTCTATATACTAGTATCTGTAATCTATATTTCTATATACTAGTATCTGTAATCTATATTTCTATATACTAGTATCTGTAATCTATATTTCTATATACTAGTATCTGTAATCTATATTTCTATATACTAGTATCTGTAATCTATATTTCTATATACTAGTATCTGTAATCTATATTTCTATATACTAGTATCTGTAATCTATATTTCTATATACTAGTATCTGTAATCTATATTTCTATATACTAGTATCTGTAATCTATATTTCTATATACTAGTATCTGTAATCTATATTTCTATATACTAGTATCTGTAATCTATATTTCTATATACTAGTATCTGTAATCTATATTTCTATATACTAGTATCTGTAATCTATATTTCTATATACTAGTATCTGTAATCTATATTTCTATATACTAGTATCTGTAATCTATATTTCTATATACTAGTATCTGTAATCTATATTTCTATATACTAGTATCTGTAATCTATATTTCTATATACTAGTATCTGTAATCTATATTTCTATATACTAGTATCTGTAATCTATATTTCTATATACTAGTATCTGTAATCTATATTTCTATATACTAGTATCTGTAATCTATATTTCTATATACTAGTATCTGTAATCTATATTTCTATATACTAGTATCTGTAATCTATATTTCTATATACTAGTATCTGTAATCTATATTTCTATATACTAGTATCTGTAATCTATATTTCTATATACTAGTATCTGTAATCTATATTTCTATATACTAGTATCTGTAATCTATATTTCTATATACTAGTATCTGTAATCTATATTTCTATATACTAGTATCTGTAATCTATATTTCTATATACTAGTATCTGTAATCTATATTTCTATATACTAGTATCTGTAATCTATATTTCTATATACTAGTATCTGTAATCTATATTTCTATATACTAGTATCTGTAATCTATATTTCTATATACTAGTATCTGTAATCTATATTTCTATATACTAGTATCTGTAATCTATATTTCTATATACTAGTATCTGTAATCTATATTTCTATATACTAGTATCTGTAATCTATATTTCTATATACTAGTATCTGTAATCTATATTTCTATATACTAGTATCTGTAATCTATATTTCTATATACTAGTATCTGTAATCTATATTTCTATATACTAGTATCTGTAATCTATATTTCTATATACTAGTATCTGTAATCTATATTTCTATATACTAGTATCTGTAAGCTATATTTCTATATACTAGTATCTGTAATCTATGTTTCTATATACTAGTATCTGTAATCTATATTTCTATATACTAGTATCTGTAATCTATATTTCTATGTACTAGTATCTGTAATCTATATTTCTATACACTAGTATCTGTAATCTATATTTCTATATACTAGTATCTGTAATCAATTTAGAAATACTTGCATGCAGATAGTATCCACTTTTACAGTATCAAGTTTCATCAAAGATCCTATTCCGTCTTTTCATATTGCAGAGTTATCTGCTCTTGTGAGCAGATATTGATTGTTACCTCATTAGTTTGCGTGAGAAAATTTTATTGTTTTATCAAAAAAATGATGATGTTACTATCACAAACAAATGCCGTAACAATCAATGCCTGCTATCAAGAGCAGATAACTCGGCAATACGAAAAGACGGAATAACAAGCTATGTCAAAGTATGGATTTAAATAAACTGGGGTCTACCCGGTATAAAGTGTTTTAATATGTGAAAAATATACACAATAATAGTCAAGTACAATATGGAATAGCTTTTTATTACTTCTAATACATGTTAAGATATTTGTCAGATTGAGCAAAATTTAAACATTCACAGGAATTAAATAAAATGTAAATTAGCATGATCCAAGCTTTTTCAATTGACAGTTACCAGGTAACAGCGGGTTCTTTATTCACACGTATAAAACTCCACTGTGGGAATACATGATATGTTGGTAATGTGGAATGTATCAAATCTCCGAGTACCCTTACAGAGGAGACCACGTTACAGCTCTCTAATAGGTTCACTCTGTCGTATATATTAATTCATCTTTAACATGTTTTTTTGCCATTCATCAATAAATACATTTTTCTATATCAACGAGTTAGATATTGTACCATGCCTAGGGTTTTTATAAGTCACCTTTCTATCGTACCAGTAGATCGAACTTAACACTGGTAAACAGAATAGATAAAAGGACCACAATAATTAATTCATTTTCACAAACTACAATTCTTTATCATAAATCTATTTAACTTTGGATTTTAACCAATTACCAGGTCACCTTCAGATTAAAGTTTTTCTATAAATAGTCACTTTCAGATTTTATATCTATTCTAATTTGGGTTATAGAACTAAAATAGTCATCTTCATATCATACAACATTTTCCTATATCTCGTCAACGTTGGATTAAAGAAGCTTTTTGCTAGGTAGCAATAAATTAATTCACATTGAAAGCACTGAAACATAAATGTCACTTTAAAAAACGTAGGAAAACAGAAGCATTATATCGGACAGTCAAGGAACACATACAGGCAACACTTCCCACCGGAGGTTACTAGGTACAAAGATTTGTGAATAAGTTTTGGCATATAAAGGAGGAAGCCATTGTTTAGTCTTCTAATCATCCCAATCATCATCGTCATCTACATCATCTTCATCGTCATCATCATCGTCATCTACAAAGTAAAAACATACAATAGAAATATACAGTGATACTCTTCATTATTTTTGTAATATGTGTTTCATATTAAGTGATCAACCTGTCTTAACTGACACCTGGAGTATCAGGACATCTGTCTATTAAGGACAAATCAACAGACAGAAAGGGAACAAATATAATGACCACGACAACGGAACAACTGTATGACACAGATTATAAAGGACGGAGAAATCTTGGCAGAAGAGGACATTATCCCAAATACTCTTTTATCGGAATAAATAGGGGCAGACTAGGACACTTATCACACATTTGTATAGTCCTTTGTGATGCAATGTTTTTTTATTTGATTTTAATTCTAGGAATGACTTTTTTTTTAAATTTAAATTTTAGGAATGACAAAGTATATTAGAAAACATGAAAACACTGCCCTTACAATTTACTATGGAGCTTTACACCAGTTTATTGTTATTGTGACTTACCCGAGCCCTGGATGTGTTTCTGTCTGTTGGCCAGGGCCCGAGCCAGGGCGCCCACTATACCTCCCGAAGCCTCCTGCTGTTGAGCTGACTTCTCATCAGCTGGATCAACCTGTCAACATCAATAAATTTCATGAGGCCTATTCCACAAAAATATTTCCTTCACAATCACTGATAACTATTAATTATTAAGGTCTCCTTCTTCCTTCTGTATATTCATGTCTGGAACTGCTGGGAGTGCGAGACAACATGTTTTATTAAATATAAAGACCTTACTGTATTTACATAACTTTCATGAATGTTTAATGGTACGCGAAACTCATCATAAAGTTAAAACTGTACATTCAATTCTTATTCTTCAGAAATTCCTGCCATGTCACGTAAGCTTAACTATACCAAAATTTAACAGGAATGGTTTGCCAGTATAATTTATTATTAAAACTTATTAAGTTTCAATTTTGATTTTTAAAACTCATGTAAGTACCATATGCGTATAAAATATTAAGACATTATCGAAAAATAAAAATCATCAAAATTTAACTAAAATGCTCTGCATTGGGGTTACTACCATTATCATACACGTTCTCAGGAAATCTGACCTATGCACCTGCAATAATGGAATAAATTATCACAACACGTAGAGATCATGCTGCTCACGTGTTTGAGGTTTTTGCCGGAGCGGATAGCGCTGAGGAGGTCGCCTCTGGCATCAGGTGCTGCTGCTGGCCTGTCTTCAGGGATCACGTTCTTCAGACTTCTACCTTTTTGGATCTGGTCCAATAAGGCATTCCGTGTTGTATCGCCACCACCACCAGAGGGCGGTGTAGGCATCCCCTGTCCACCCATCATAGGGGGAGGTGGAGGAGCAGCGGGAGCCGTAGGAGGTGGTGGAGGAGGGGGTGGGGGAGGGGGTCCACCCGAGGAAGGAGGTGTTGGGAATCCAGTTGAGGGGGGAGGTGGAGGTGGTCCCATGGATGGTTTCACAGGCGGAGGAGGAGGGTGAAAGCCTGTGTTTTGAGGAGGAGGGGGTGGTGGAGCACCAAGATTCCGAGGACCCCTGTTAGGCGGGGGTGGAGGAGGTGCCTGGTGAGCTCTGGAAGGAGGAGGTGGAGCTGCTGGGCCGGGCCGGGATGGTGGAGGTGGGGCGCGACCTGCTGTCCGTTGGGGTGGGACTGCAGGCGGGGCTGCTGTTAAGTGAAAAGAAAAGTTGGTTCAGTTAGAATTCCCCAAACATCATTATAATGTTTTTTTAACACTGACATGGTGGTTACACTATAGAACCATCAGCACTATTCATATTATCTGTTCATGTAAAAAGAAGTAGCAAGGAATTGAATATCCTGTAAATATTTCCTAGCCTTAAAACAAATTATAAGACTTTTAAATTTATATCCTTAATTCTAAATAAGTGTATTACTAAAATCGTTACGACATGGTATGAAAACAGATCAGGAAATGTAACATAATTCACTAGTGTATCATTTTATTCAGATTCTAAATATAACTGAAAAGCTTAAGTACTAAACATCTAAAATGAAAACAAATTTATAACTCACTTGACTCCTGTTACCTTGAAATTGTAAAGGTCATTTACTTAAACAAACTTTATATGACACCACCTCAGCAGGCTACATAATAATTATCATGACCCTAGATCTTCCATCTTCATTTGGGAGAGGGGTGTGTTTAAATATGAAAATGTAAATATTTCATATAATAGGAGCAACACCCTCTTGTTTATAATGATCTGGGGTGTTTGGTCACGGAGTGGAGAACTTGTCTCACCTGAGGGGGCGTCTGGCGGGGGCCTGGACGCCATCTCTGCCTTGACCGCGTCTATACCTCCATGTTGTTCCACAAAGTCGTAGATGAAGTCGACAGTTTCTTTATCCACCACCTCGTTCTCGTCTATACCCACGCTCTCAAACAGACCCTTCATGTCGGGCTCCAGGTTGTTCATCTGTGGATATAGGACCTCATGTCACACCAGTTCATCATCAAACATGTCAAAAGTTCAAAGTGTTAAGGTCAAAGTTGATACACCCTTATGTCCTTGAGATTTCAATGTGTGGCACTGTCATGTTGTCTTTGAGAAGAGCCTCAATAACCTCAATCAATACACCTCTGATTTAGTTTAAACTCCAAATCCTGACACCAAACTCCTCTTTTAACAACACATTTATCTAGATCTCTTACCCAACGTCCTACATCCGTCCCCCCAACCCCCCCACCCCTATCCCATCCCCCCTACAAACAAACAAAGCCACCATTTAACCCTACACTTGCCACATTACACATCACCAAATTAACAACAAGTTATAACGGTCCTGTACATTGACAGCTTTTCGCCCAGTCCAACTTTCGCCCTTTGCCTGTGAAATCCAAATTCGCCAAGTGTTGATTTCGCCTTTCACATTTAATAATCATGTAAATAATGTTGTTGAGTATATGTTTGCTGTAGTGATAAATTTGCCCTCATTCCAGAAATAAGGCGAACATTTCCTAGTATACAGTAGTTGTTTGGACCTTCCATTAAACCATCCCGACCACCACCTCACAATATTCCATCATAATGTTTTTCCCGGTCCAAAATCCCTGAATGAAATGAGCTGCCAGCTGACTGACTAACTAAAAGTAAAGGTATCGTGGGCACGATACCTTTACTCTCCTGGCCTACTTACATCAAATCCCTTGTCAGGATCCCAGCCAACATGGCTGACGTGCCTGAAGTCTGTTGGCGTACTAATGTCCTCCTTGGTCAGTTTCTTTTTCTTGTCTTTCTCCTTGCTCTTGCCCTTATTGCCCTTGGAAATGGTCTCTTTGCCGCTCGTCTTGTTCAAGTTAACATCCACCGGCGACAGAGGGGGGTTAGAGTCTGAGGTAAAAGGTCACCGTTAAATAAGGAATATTGAGCTAAAATACCACAGGTTGATCAGGTTATCTAGAGTGTTTGGTCACGTTTTAAGCTTTATTTCTGAAATACACCCGAGTTGTGAAAAAAAAAAATCACAAAATACTGATCAATCTTGCCCTCAATACACACTTTTGAAATACCCTAAAATATAAGGCTTTAGGATATCAACGAACATCAAGTTTAGGATAACATGTCCAAGTCACAAGTAAGTACAGACTTATCATGTTAGGTCCTAAACCATCATATAGTTTGGAAATTTGGCAGTCCATGGTAATAAACCTATATTTGAGTAAAACCCTCGATACCATTTCTCATTTATAGCTTTCCCGTCAGAAGTGACTGTGGAACACAAAGTCTACTACAGTGATAAAACCTTTGAACCTCTAATAAAACATCTTTATAACAGATATGTCACATGCCATTTGGACAGGGTGTACATAAATTGTAAATATCAGTGTTTGAATATCGCGCGCTTTCCAGCCAGGTAACTTTAACAGGTAAGTTACGCATGCGCTAATAAGTGTACTACAGGTGAGAAGGGCGGACATTACGGGTGCGGACCGTGTAGTGAATGTTGGAGCGCAAATAGCTGCTTGCGGTAAGTTTAAACTTGTTTCAGTTTTATCAGATTTATTATAACAAATGTATTGATTCATATATAGGCGTTGGACCTTATAAGTGCTGTATAAAGGTGTATTTTACCTGGTATGAATGTATGCGTACCCGGTACTGTGAGTGCACGGGGTGTGTATATATGCGTGTGTATGGGACCAGGTAAAGCGTGAACAATAGCACTGTTAGCTTTGTTCAGCATAATGAAATGTTTAGTGCTAGCATTACTGCTTAAATACTATATATAACCAGTTCAGATATATATTTTATTGTCTTAATCAATAATTGTAATTAAATAGTATACCAGTATAATACTATCGTTACGTGTATAATAGCTATTTAATTAAGGCATACGTATATTGTAGCTTTTCGTCCTTGGGCCGTCGACGTTCGTGTAACGGAAGGCCAAATACAGATGGTCATTTTGGTACTCCACAACTATCGGATCCCGATGACGTGATACTGAACGTTCCCAGAGAAACCCTTCACCTACATATATACCTACCTGTACTTGTGTGGTCATGGAGAGGGTAAAGCCTAATACCCTTGTCTTTGGCTGGTCTTGTGACCTATTATATAATTACTGTATATACTTACCTGGACCTGTGTGGCCGTGCAGAGGGTAACACTTTATACCCGTACATTGGACTGGTCTGTGTGACCTGTGTCCAACAAGTCTGTGTGACTGAGTGTTGACTGGTTTGAGTGACCTGCTGTTGACTGGTCTGTGTGACCTGTTTATGTACCGGCTGGATCTGTGTGAACCGCTACATTCTATATGTGTTTGTGAGCTTGGAGAGGACTTCACTGAGATTGGACAAGTCTAAGGGAGGACGGCGTCATCAACATTGGAGACGACCCAACAGCGTCCAACAAGCTACAGAGACTTTAGGGTGTTGATATGGCATTTTGTATTATTAGTTAGTTATATATATGTACATATTACATGTCATTCGTTAGCGAGTTGATAGTGTGAGAGAGAGCCATTCTGATTTTGTGTGATGAATATTGGATATTATGTACTTATTATGCATTGTAAATACATTGTATATACTGTTTTAACCGTGGTTTGCTTTATGTTCTAGGAAACCAGTATTTAATCAATCCCGATCGGTTCTCGTTACAAGATACATGTGCAAGTTTTCCAAGTATAAACAAGATACTACTGAAGCCTTGACTGACTGGGGTTACTTACTGTTTATACTTGACTGACTGGGGTTACTTACTGTTTATACTTGACTGACTGGGGTTACTTACTGTTTATACTTGACTGACTGGGGTTACTTACTGTTTATACTTGACTGACTGGGGTTACTTACTGTTTATACTTGACTGACTGGGGTTACTTACTGTTTATACTTGACTGACTGGGGTTACTTACTGTTTATACTTGACTGACTGGGGTTACTTACTGTTTATACTTGACTGACTGGGGTTACTTACTGTTTATACTTGACTGACTGGGGTTACTTACTGTTTATACTTGACTGACTGGGGTTACTTACTGTTTATACTTGACTGACTGGGGTTACTTACTGTTTATACTTGACTGACTGGGGTTACTTACTGTTGATAGAAGGAGGGGGAGATGACACGCCTCCCTGGTTCTGATTTCTGTTATTGTTTATACTTGACTGACTGGGGTTACTTACTGTTGATAGAAGGAGGGGGAGATGACCCGCCTCCCTGGTTCTGATTTCTGTTATTGTTTATACTTGACTGACTGGGGTTACTTACTGTTGATAGAAGGAGGGGGAGATGACCCGCCTCCCTGGTTCTGATTTCTGTTATTGTTTATACTTGACTGACTGGGGTTACTTACTGTTGATAGAAGGAGGGGGAGATGACCCGCCTCCCTGGTTCTGATTTCTGTTATTGTTTATACTTGACTGACTGGGGTTACTTACTGTTGATAGAAGGAGGGGGAGATGACCCGCCTCCCTGGTTCTGATTTCTGTTATTGTTTATACTTGACTGACTGGGGTTACTTACTGTTGATAGAAGGAGGGGGAGATGACCCGCCTCCCTGGTTCTGATTTCTGTTATTGTTTATACTTGACTGACTGGGGTTACTTACTGTTGATAGAAGGAGGGGGAGATGACCCGCCTCCCTGGTTCTGATTTCTGTTATTGTTTATACTTGACTGACTGGGGTTACTTACTGTTGATAGAAGGAGGGGGAGATGACCCGCCTCCCTGGTTCTGATTTCTGTTATTGTTTATACTTGACTGACTGGGGTTACTTACTGTTGATAGAAGGAGGGGGAGATGACCCGCCTCCCTGGTTCTGATTTCTGTTATTGTTTATACTTGACTGACTGGGGTTACTTACTGTTGATAGAAGGAGGGGGAGATGACACGCCTCCCTGGTTCTGATTTCTGTTATTGTTTATACTTCCCTGCTGATTCTTCTTCTTTTCTGAAACACCAATCAATTTTGAGGAGTAAAATTAATATTTGAAACGAGTAAAATCAATATTTAAAGCATAAAAGATTGCTTTTCCAACAAAAAATTAACATATATATTTCCATTTGCTCTGCATTGCCACTATATAACCTAACCAAACAAGATAGAAAGATATCAGATCATAATTCTCACATAGAACATGTTTGTGACGTCGTGACTAAATAACGTTGTTTTGACTGACGTCACTATATTAAGTTAGTATTGACGTGAAGAAAAAATAACAATGCACATTCTTTGTGGTAACCCTACCGTGCTACTGGATTAAAAAACCCAATTGATCAACGTAATTCCCAACAATTAATGTAGTTATGTTGTATAAAATGTGAATATCCTCACGGTGGAATATATAGATTAAATTGTTGAAAATTAAATTGATGATTTTGTGCTTATTTCCATGACCTATATTTTTTTGCCGGGAACGGTCGCAAGTTTTTGTGACATCACAAGAACAGTTCCAATTGACAGATGTCCCGAAATTAGACTTTGAAATGTGATAACAGGTCGGATATTAGTAAAAACTTGAATTAAAAATGGAAATTAAAGTATTACACTGCTTTCTTTGGAAAGTTATTGTCCCATAACTCTCACAGGATTATAGGACAATGTACCTTTGGTGAAAAGAGGAGTATACACTCACTCATGCCATATTATATAATGCATACCTGTAAACAATCCCCAATCCACTTATTTTCACTTTGTCAAACATTTGTGTATAGGAGTTACCTCCCTTGTCTTATATCTACACTATTGTGTTCCTACTCCAACCTAGTGTTGTCGAAACCTTCTGCACTAAAGTACTTCAATATGGATAGAAAAATAAGGGTGAAGGTCTCTGGTATCATTGTGTGACAGTATGAGGAGATGAAGGTGAGGACAGGGTCAAAGAGGTTAACATTTAACATATGATGTAATAGCACTTGAAATTGCGAACAGAGGTTAATTAAGATACCATCAGGTTTGACATATGGCAGCAGTATATCAAAGATACACTGTATGGTCAAATGTACCTACAATTGTATATGTCAAAAACATTGAGACCAAGAAAACCTGAACAGTCAGATAATATGAATGTTCGAAATATTCCAGTATAAACATGTGGAAAAAAAAGTTAAAGGATAAAAAATATAAAGAATAAATGGTCATACAGTAAAAAATGTAGAGATACATATTATTACATACCACAGGAGTAATAAAGAATGATTGTGTAACACAATGTTCCTTACCGAGTCTCCTCTGATGGCGCTCCATCAACTTCGACTCAACAGCATTTTTGAATTTAAAGGCTTCATCTTCACTTGCAAAGTTAAGACCTGCCTGTACATCCTACAATGTCATATTGAATTGGTAAGTTACTGTACATCACACAAGGTCATACTACAAGGTCATATAGAATTGGTAAATATTTATACATCATACAAGGTCATATAGAATTGGTAAGTAACTATATATCCTACAATGTCATATAGAATTGGTAAGTAACAGTACATCACACAAGGTCATACTACAAGGTCATATATAATTGGTAAGTAACAGTACATCCTACAAGGTCATATACAATTGGTAAGTAACTATACATCCTACAACATCATATAGAATTGGTAAGTAACAGTACATCACACAAGGTCATACTACAAGGTCATATAGAATTGGTAAGTAACTATACATCCTAAAAGGTCATATAGAATTGGTAAGGAACAGTACATCACACAAGGTCATACTACAAGGTCATATAGAGTTGGTAAGTAACAGTACATCCTACAAGGTCATATAGAATTGGTAAGTGACATTACATCCTACAATGTCATATTGAATTGGTAAGTAACAGTACATCCTACAAGGTCATATAGAATTGGTAAGTAACTATACATCCTAAAAGGTCATATAGAATTGGTAAGTAACAGTACATCACACAAGGTCATACTACAAGGTCATATATAATTGGTAAGTAACAGTACATCCTAGAAGGTCATATAGAATTGGTAAGTGACATTACATCATACGATGTCATATTGAATTGGTAAGTAACAGTACATCACACAAGGTCATCCTACAAGGTCATATAGAATTGGTAAGTGACATTACATCCTGCAATGTCATATTGAATTGGTAAGTAACAGTACATCACACAAGGTCATCCTACAAGGTCATATAGAATTGGGAAGTAACTATACATCCTAAAAGGTCTTATAGAATTGGTAAGTAACAGTACACCCTACAAGGTCATATAGAATTGGTGAGTAACAGTACATCCTACAAGGTCCTATAGAATTGGTAAGTAACTATATATCCTACAATGTCATATAGAAAGAATTGGTAAGTGACATTACATCATACGATGTCATATTGAATTGGTAAGTAACAGGACATCCTACAAGGTCATATAGAACTGGTAAGTGACATTACATCCTACAATGTCATTTATACTTGACTGACTGGGGTTTCTTACTGTTTATACTTGACTGACTGGGGCTACTTACTGTTGATAGAAGGAGGGGGAGATGACCCGCCTCCCTGGATCTGATTTCTGTTATTGTTTATAGTTGACTGACTGGGGTTACTTACTGTTGATAGAAGGAGGAAGAGATGACACGACTCCCTGGTTCTGATTTCTGTTATTGTTTATACTTGACTGACTGGGGTTACTTACTGTTGATAGAAGGAGG